TATTTGAAAGAGGGCACTATAGAGATGGCACTATATTTGCATGAAATTTCACACTTAAGATGAGCACCAACATGGCAGATGCCTAATTTGCATAACTGTATGACATCAGCTGCAAACCAAAAATAGGACATACTTCCAACCATTATATTTGCTGGACAATCACCCCCACTCCCTTCAAGTCTGGGCCTTGCTGTCAGCAGTCTAGAGCAGGTCTGTAAAAGGCTACTTAAGTTTGATAGGAGGAAACTTTGTGCAGACAATCTTGCTGACCGTATTCGTAACCTTCTTCAGAGGTAATTGCTAGCCAGAAACAAAATTTGTCTTTTTACTCAAATAACCCCATTCTATCTTAATTAGCAATGAATGATGACTTTTTCATGCATTTTATTTTGGAAAGTATCCCAAGAATTTATTTAAACAAATCATGGCTGATAAATACTTGGTACCCCCCTCTAAAAACAATAGCAAAATCACTTGTTTATTGAGTTACCTTCAATGCTGCTCCTTTTAGAGTGCTTTCATGGTTAACTGATGATAGCCTTCCATGATTTAACTATTGAAAAACAGCTGTGTGAAGAAATTAAGATGAAGGTCCACTTTGCAGAATTGACACAACCATCAGCTCAGCAGCAAAGCAGCAATCCTTTTGATTTAATATCACCATAGAATCAGTTGTTTTACCAACAGAGAAAAGAGCTCTTTCAACACAGTCCAAAATTTCTGTAAAGGAAACACAAAACATGTTAGGATATTGTCATCACATTGTCCATGGAGCTCATCAAGTTATGGTGTGAAAATATTTTCTAATATAAGGTAAAGCCCATTTACATCAGAAAAAAGATAAAAATCAAACCGTTTAAAAAGTGTTCTGCTAATGAAACATCTAACCTCTTCACATCCCTACCGCTAGATTAATGTGCCAAATCTGATTTTGGAAAAATCCCAACGACATATTCATGAAATACTCTACATCCATAGATTAGCCTACATGTGTTTTGTCTTGGAATTCTCCCTAAATACTGCAAAGAGACCATCACATACACAACCAGCACTGTTAAGGTATAGAGAAAATCTTTCATTCCAAGATCCTTTTTACAAGTTCTCCTTAAACTTAAGTTATCTGACATCCTACATGTGTTTTGTAAAAGAATTATCCCTACATGTAAATACTGCAAATTAAGCATTACAAACATTCAGACACCAGTAGGGTACTGTATAGAGAAGGAGAGGAGATCTTTTTTCACAAAATCTCCATAAATTTCAGTCACCTGACAACCAATTGTTTAGGTTCATAATTACTTAATCAAGGGCACAAAAAGGCTTACCTGTGAAGCAGTCTCTCCTTGCTCCCCATTGTCTATTGTCAGTTCACCATTGAATACAATTTTAACATGGTCATTTGCACCTCCTTGCTGATTTTATTGAGTCTGTTAAACATCTTTCCACTTGTGCCTCTGTCTGATGTTCATTCTGACTGGTTCTTTAAGACTCACATTGTTGAGCAACCCATGGAAGATATCCTGGATCCTTTCCTTAGTCTTGGGCTGAGTAACCTGTAGGGTTGGATCTATGATGCAAACTTCTCTTCCTTCATCCACACAATCTGAATTTTGTTCCTTTCCATCACTTGGTATATTGTTCACCTGAATATAACAGCATGCATCTGCTTGTTCTGCTATGGTAATTACAGGAAAAAAGAGAAAGTAATATGTGGAACACTCCACATCATTGTTGCCAAGGATGATCTCAACTGTAAGTAATACTGAATCTTTACTTGCAGGGTCTGTTCTGGACACCTGTTCCTTATCATTTTTCTGTGTTTTGCCATCATTTCAACCAGGATGATCTTCCCACTCATTGTAACTTTTTTAAACACGATTGGTAACTCGGAGAACAAAAAGTCACTTTACTGGCAACAAAAACATATTGAACTGGTTGTACAATTTACTTATATCTTCTCTATGTTTTTCAACCCCCCTGTTGTGCCAGGTGAATTCATCACTTCCGTCTGGTCAGGGAAGAGCAGAATAAAGTCTTAACCTTCATGTATCCTTTTTCATGATAAGTGTGTTTTGTTAGAGCTTCATTGTGAATCACATCAGCAGTGCCTGTTGACTTTTCATTCACAGGTAACATTTTTCCTTGGCATCACTTCAGGTTCAAGCTCCTTAACAAGCAATTAAAATATGGTTATGAATATTGGTGCATCTTTGTAGGTATAAACAACTTCACAAAAGAAATGTCCAGAGACAAGCTTGGCCCTTACATCCTAAAATCTGTTGCTTAATTTCCATCCACACTGTTCTCTACACATTTCTTTCTTTTCTGTGTGATGCAGGTGTGATATTATAAGGAGAAATTACATGTAGATGCTGACACTTTTAGGGGTTAAAGGAACTGCACATACCAGAAAGTGATAAAGCAAAAAATAAATGTACTGTAGGTTAGTTCATTGTCTGTATATTTTCAATACATATGACAGGAAACATTCAGAGCAATTTAAATGTTTCTTCACTCTAACTTGTTCACTCTTCTCTATTGTTTGAATGTGTGCAACTGTTCTAATAACTTGCAACAAACAACAGAAACAAAAAATCAGCATGGATGCCATGTTATTTCTTAAGTGAATAAATGCATTCTGATGATGATTTCCTTTAAATCACAAGTTGTCAAAAAGAACCCAAGAATCAAAAGGAGCTGCTTCTACAGAGATCTTTCACATCACAGACAATCTTATCACAATTCACAAATGCTACAAATCCCTTCAATCAGCCACTCTTTTGTTCACCTAATAACATACATTTCAAATAATTGTCATTGTTGTTGGCTATATTGGCACCTACCTTTGGTGTTTGTTACGCAAGATCTCCTGGTTCAGTACTGTTATTATTCCAGTTGCTGTAGACTGTTATTGTGATCTTTGAGGTATTGATATTTTAAAGATTCATTCTGATGTTCAGTGATATTTTTGGTGTTGATATTGACCATAAACCTGTGCTGTCTGAATGCCCACATTCATCACTAAAATGGCAAAGAGCAAAGATCACATGTCGGCATATCTGATCACTACATTATGCTTATTAATTGAAGCAATTCCTTTACCATTACCTAAAAAAATTAATAATGAAATAGTTCAGAGTTTCCTGCTCAAGAAATATATGCATAGTAATAATGTTATACATGCACACCGGAGAAAATGGTTGGAACAGAGGAATTAGGAGTTATGATTTTTCTTTTCCTCTCCCTATCCTTAGTTGACGCATATCACTCTTGAGTTCTTCAATTAAATCTGTGATGTCAAACCATGTTACTATCAGCAGTGCTAAGCCATGTAAACAGAGTGAAATAATCATTACCTTTGCCATCTTGAGGCTATTGTCCTGTAGGGATCCTTTGATGTTGATTTGGCAACAGCATTAAGCAAAATCAAAACCTCCATTTTTAGTCTTCCTCAGCCACCTCTCCCACCAGTGGTGCTGACAGAGAAAGTCACATATGTATGGTGTCCATTTGTAGTACACTGGATTTGAGAAAGCATACAAAGGTGCCATTTATTTAGAATTTGTGTGACATTTCCTTTGATTTTGACATCCAATAGAAGAAAACATTTATCACATATTTACTAGCTTTTTGCCTCAAATATACAGCATTTACCATAGAGGCCATATTTCAGTAATCTCCAGGATTTCTAATATCTTGCAGCTGTTTTTATTATTCAAGTTGGTGCAGAACAGCATGATAGCAGCCAAGAATTGTTGGCATAATGGTGTATTACAAGTCTTGCCAAAGGGCAAAGGGAACTGCATTTACCTAACCAGTTAGAGTAAGACTTTGTCATGCAAAAGACCTTCCAGAATACCTAATGCATATTAGCATCAACAGTTTTCTTTCAGTAATTTTTCATACGCCTTTCATTAATTTCTTATACACTTTGCTTTGAGAAATTAATGAAGAAAAAAAGAGTGAACCAGTTTATGTTCCCAAAACATTTTCAGCACCATGTTTTTGGCTTGTTTGATTTGCTTCCAGTTACTAACCAGTCATGGGTTATGCCATTATTAGTCAGTCACACGTCACACAAGCTCTTTTTGTGTGAGTGGATGTTGTTGTCCTGAATCCCACAATGAACAGTGCGAGTGTTGTCAATGTCAGCCCAAACTGTGTTGTCAGAATAAAATTATGATTGAATGTCAAAACCTTTTTGTCATGCTTATCTACAACATGGGTTTTTTGTTCCCTAAATCTCCATTCCTACCCCTCCCCACTTCTTCCCCAAGCTGATTCTTAAAAACCCAGCTACTTTTTTCATTTTCTTGCCTACTTGAAAAATTATTGACAGCCCTGCAAGGGGGTAATGCTCCAATCACCAACTGGACTCCAACCCAGCACAAATGCTAGCTATGATGAGTTGACATCTATGCCAAAATAACAAGTAAAAATATTGAATTAAAATATATCTATTAAATTTCCTTTATCCAAAAAATTAAATGCATGCTACATACATGTTACTGAGGTGGCTCTGTAACAACCTTGGGCTCGGTTGCGTATGACAACTGTCTTTCCTATCACATTGACAATCTGCTAGGTCTGCTACTCAGGTCTGTTAGCTGTTTCGTTCGATCGTTGAATTGCACGGTAAAAGATCCAATGCACTTTTTTTATACTAAAATAAAACTATGGTGTTGATTTCTACACACATTCAGAGTTAGAAGGAAGCCAAAGCATTGCTGAATACAGTAGAATCCTGGTTGGCTCAAACATTCCGCCATCCAGCTCCGCCATCTTAAATCAAGTTGGTCAGTCACGCTAAAGCATGCGCACTGGGTTCTTATTAACGCGGCAAATCAATAACATTTCTATTACTTTGTAATCACTCGAATGATTACAGACCGAATTGGACGACATGAACTATTGTTTGCATTGCTTAATCAACACGAAGTAGAGCGTGTTGTTGTAATAACCAACAATCACAACTTGTTTTGGCCTCGTGCTGTTGAGACTGATGCGTTTCCTGCGAGTTTTGATTAATCTAAGGGACTTACTTCTGGTCGAAGACAATTTCCTGAAGGATATGTTTTTTCCTCTCGCGCGCTTAATGAGCGAGTTGACAGCACGCAAATATTACGCCTTGCAAGAGAAGAAAGTCTTATTCATTGTAATTCTTAAAAAAATAACACCTTCACAAGGTCATAACATTTTGAGTTCCTTTTTAACCAGGTTTGTTCTGTCCTTCTCTTAACTTGCTCTTTATTTCGCTCTTTACTACTGGTCATAGCGTTGATCTCTGTCCATTGCGTTGTAGAATCTAAAGAAATTCAGTGAATGGAATTTGCAATGGCTCCCTCGAGTTCAGAGAAATTGCCTCATTCCAGGTCAGTTTTACGGCTGAAGAAATCAAAGATTTTAAGGCATCATTAAAGGGAACAAACATTTTAATTATCATAACTTATTAAACTTTTTTAACATTCATTTCATTTTACTTACAGTGAATTTCCTTGCTATTTAAAAGCGAACAGAGAAGAGAAACCTGTGTAGATTATTAATAAAAGTGTCTGACAGTCAAAAGATTGACGATTACTCCCAATTATGTACGAAAACAGACCTTTCCGTGGGCTGTAATTGAAAACATCTCACGGAGAGTTCATGCGGTGACTGAATGTTGGAATGCTAAATACCAAAAAATCGGACATAGTTAATTTTTGTCTCTTACCTCATAGGGGTGTGATTTCAAGATCTTGCGAGTTATTCCAAATCCGTTTTAGTCGATCGTTCTCTGTGGAAAATAACACACCATGGCAAACTCATTTGGCTAGAATTTGCAGCAACTGTGGATAATTTTCCTTTTTTCTGTTCCTTTCTCGGCAGTTTTCCTCAGGGGAAGTGTGTGCGTACAATTAAGTACTTTTCCTTCATTTGCTCTCTGGTTGTCCTTTAAGAAATTCACGGAAAACAATATGAAATAAGGAAAAACACTCTCCTCTCTCCTTATTATGTACAATGGGAACCTGTTCAGAAAAGTACCGAAGCTGAGATAAGATCCGCACACGAACGAATTCGCGGACACGAATTTCACTCTATTCTTGAACAGTCCACCGACGATACACTCAGTCTTGGTCAGGTTTAAAATGAAAATGTCGTTTCCTCAAGAGTCGGTTCAACGGCTAAAAAAAGAACAAATGTTGCAGATACAATATAATATAAAAGCCCAAGGTATAAAAATCCACAAGCAAAACATACAAACCTCATCGGCGTTTTCGTATAAGTAGAAACGGCAAAACTTGAACTTGGACGCTAACTGAACTAAAACTAACCGATCAAGGTACAAAATGCGCATAATGAAGGATGTTTAAGTGTATAAGAGTCCCTTGTGACCTAACGCTTGGTAGTTCGTGCATACAACGAAAACAAAGAAAAATAAACTACCAAGTAATGCTAATGCACATACCGCAGTTACAACCAAGCTGAGATAAGATTGTGTGTATCGACTACCTTGCTCAAACTGTTGTTATTTAAATTGAGGCCAGGAAATGTGCGTGCAATGCGTGCATAGACATCCTTCACTGACGAATTATACCACTATTTAGGGAAGTTTTCAGTCACATCAAAATTAAAGAGGCCGTTTAGACTTGATCCTGTTCTCAGTTGTTAACCGCTGTAAATTGACAAGATGGGGTTACTTTGGATCTAGTTTTTTGATATCATCATTTTTGGTAAAATCGTTCAAATGGAATAAAAGTTCAATCACCAACACGTGTATATCAACAATCGCCTTGCAAACTATAAAAGCTCCCACACTTGATAGGTCATCAGGTTTCCTTAGCAGGTAACATTCAAATTATTTAAAATAATTGAATTATTTGACTGGCTTAGGTTATTCAGATGTTGACTTTTTTCTCTGTTTTTGGCTCCGAGCTTATTAAGACTCTTAAAGCGTGGCAGTGACATGCTGATAAGGACTGTAAAGATGATTACTGAACTGGTGTGGTAGGCGCAATGAAACGATGTGGCAAAGCGCGTGCTCGCACACTGTTTTGAGTTTGTAAACTTTACCAAGTGGCGGATACGATTATCACGTGGGCTAATTGGAGTTTGCGGTTGAACAGTCGTATTTTGTGGATTTTTGTGTCTGTGATGCCATTTAAGTGGTGGTTTTTGTGGTCCACTAACGAGCCACATAATTGCTACGATGTCCATGTCAAAAGTGTCATGTGAGGAAACAGAATAAGAAATTAAGGTCAGTTATTTTGAGCTCGTTAATGAAATAAAGAAGCAGATTGATTACAGAGCTGCTCAATCAAGAAAGAGTTCGGGTTATTAGTCAATTACACTCAATTTCCCGCCATAACAATCAGCTGATCAATGACGTCAGCACTAGATTGCTTCATTACCCTCTATGACACCATAATCACTTCTCGCTTTGGTTTCCGTCAGCAAGGAAACAGATTCATTCGGAGATGTGAGCTTCAATTTGGGAAGCTAAGTTAAAAAAAATAACGTAATAAGTCGAGCACATGACGAATAAGGTCCAAACATGTTGTTATGACAGTGGGCGAAAGCTCCGATGCGAGCCATGATGAAGACGAAAAATGGACCTCGGAAAAATTATTTCATAGCGTCATGCATCGGTTATGCTGTCGGCCTGAGGAATATTTGGCGTTTTACGTATCTTTGTTACAGGAACGGGGGAGTCAACTTCCTTAAGAGTAGATATCTATCACAGTCCTTTTTTAGGAGTGTAGGTTAACAAGAACACACTTTTTAGAGTTGCAAAATTCTTGCAACTCAAAGTTAACGGCTATCGGTTAAAATTTCGTTCATTTTACGGCTGACGGTCAATTTCTTTGCATTGCAATTAAAATTTACATGTTTAAACTTTGGCATTTTTTACCCCTACCAGCTATATTTTTTCTAATTTTGCCGTTTACAGCTAACGGTTACTGGACCCATTGACACCCTCAAAGAAGAATTTGTTTGTTTGAAAACACTTTTCAAAAATGCATTTAAAGCTGAGCAAATAACAAGCGCTTTTCAAAACAGGTTGGGCTACACTTGCAAAGAAACAAAGCAGATCACGTAAGTACCGAATATTCCATGCTTAATGTTTACAAAATGAGAAAAGATGAGAGATGCGAAATGGGTGCCCATAGAGGAGTAGATAGGCTGTTTGAGTCATAATTATAGCTCAAGTTTGGTTTTATGAGGTAAGGGAAATTTTGCTCAGTAAAGTGAGAGCAAAAAAAAAAAAAAAAGGAAAGATGAAGGCTGGTTAGTTTGACCGCCCTCACCTTCTTCATTCAATGGTTACCAACCTATTAGCTTTGCGGGAGAATAAGGCCAATTGGTTTTCCAACTTGCGAACTCGCCTAATGTTGCTGAGCGTTGGCAAAGTTAAGGAATTCTGCACCAGTTCCTCAGTTTTTAATTTATAGTTTCTCTCAGTAGTAAGATAGTTAAGAGCGCAAGCATGGAGAATTCTCCAGCAGCTTCTAAAACCAAATAAGATGGGCTTCTCTGTTGTTTACAGTTGGTTAACGCCAAAACTAAGGTGTGATGCACCGTGGATTTTACAGAAAGGCGAGACAGTGATTCGTGAATTTTATGATCCAGTGTAAGGCGTGGTCTGCCCCTGAAATATACGTGACCTGTGAGTTTTTTATGTTCATTTCTTGAAAACCTCATGATTTCCTCCAAACCTCGCACGTAAGAAGAGAGCTTTGAAGTTTTCCCCTATTAAATGACGCATGCTGTTTAAAGTACATGTGACGCGTGAACTTTTCCAAAATGGATCCGGAGCCCCTGTCCCCCTCCCTCTCCCTGGGCTACCCTCATGTTAAAGTACCACTTATCATCTAGTTAGCGCATTATAGGAATATTACGATAACCATGGTAACTGCTCTCTCTCGCTCCCTTCAAATAGCAGAGGAAATAAGACCCAAAGAATGTGCATTGCGCTCAAACATCAAATCAAATAACGTCAATCTTCTACAAACAATATCACTCATTGATATCGGTAGTTTCATTAATAATAGTTGCGATGTTGTAAAGAGCAGCAAAAACTTCAAAAGAAGTATTCTCTCTGTAGCTTACTTAGCTGCAAATTTTTTTCGACTTTCTCATTCAAAATTCTTTTTATTTTCATCTCAGTTTGCTCCTTTATAGAAAGGAGAGGAAGTACTTTGGAGAAAGGAGTCTAAACTTAAAGAAAATTCAATCCCAGGACCGTGGTGTCTACACCTCTTCAGCGGAAAACTTATGAGAAGAATTATCCGTCAATGTCAGCTTGAAAGGTCTGCCCAAGAAATTTATAATCTCTTGTTGTCTTTATAACGCAATAGTTGGCATCCAGTTTCATATATTTTCCACCAATAAATTCCAAATATAACTATGTAAAGTTATGCAGAGTATTCATTTTGCATTTTAAAAGGTCCAGATCCTTCTAGCTCATTATTTGCTGGTCAAAAAAAATGCACTTTCTTGTTATAACACAAGCTTAACGTTCTCCGCACAACAATCGGTCACGCGCGCCTTGCAAAAAACTATTTGAATTTATCGTTCATTGCGCATCCAGGGCAAACGTAAAATTTCGGATAAATATCAATAGTCCCGTCAAAGCTTGATCACTGGTGCTAATTCATATATTGCTGCACATCATTAGGATGTCCTACACCTATTTCGAGCTCGGTTGCTCGGGAACAAATATTGATCCGTCTCAGTAGTAGTACCACTTAAGTAGTACCAGCACTTCAGTATATTTACCCCTTTAGTGGTACCAGCAAAATTTATAACCGAACCTAAGCGTTCCGTAACTGCTTACAAGACATGGGAAACCGACCTCCAATGTAACATCTTTGGTTACCCTTCCGTCACGACCAACACTGAAAATGCAACATGACTTCGAGCTATTGTCTTAAAATGGTTAAAAAATTAATTAAATAATCGCCTAAATTTCATGTTAATTGTCGCGGCTAGCGAAATACGAAATGACTCGAAGGTGGTCCATTAGGGTAGTCCTTGGACTGGGGTCAGTGTTTTGCCCATCACCCCTGTAATCATCTCATTAGCGAGTGACATAGTAGCAAGATCGCACGAGTACGATTTGTTAACTTCAGGTATACAGACAGAATTTGACAACACGAAGTCGTAATACTAATTGATAAAATGTATGGAAAAATACGAGAAACAAACCAGGCAATGGTTATACTTTTTCATTTAAAGCCAAAGGAACAGCTTAATAAGAGGACGAAACGCACAAAATCAAATTCTTACACTAAATACTAACTTGTGAATGCGTTACATTTCTGCCGACGTGTTCGAGCTTTCGCCTAGAAATATGATGTCACCAAAAAACTGTCACGCAAGGGATGGAGGTTACAGGACAGCGAAATCTTTGTTTTGGTGTAGATTGACAAGAGTGTGTTCGAAGCCCAAACAATTGTCGCAAAGCTGTCCATATTTTCTCCAGAACGATGTCTATGAAAGCTCTGATTGTTGAAGAGTTCGGCGACTCGTCGAAACTAAAGTATAGTGAGGTTCTCAAGCCAGAACCCGCAGAAGGAGAGGTAAATAAACTAGTCTATTTTACATTTCTCCCTCCTAAGAACTGTCTCGGTCTTTGCCTCTTTCATGTGGGGCAGTGCTGAATCATATTGGCGGTTTCAATTTTTAATGATCGTGTAATTTAAGCCAAAATAGTGGATATTTTAAGAGGACAATTGTCATTATTAACCTGACTGTATTGAGATTCTCGTAAAGCAAAACATGTGAAGATAAGCTATAGGCGCCATTGGCAAAATGATGGTGATGACTGTACAAGTTTAATGTACATGACCGCGCTACGTAAAAGGCTGCGACTGCAAACTGCCCGGTTCACCCATCGTATTCTCTCGAATAACACAACACGTTTTACCGATCTAATAGGCACTCTCCTTCAGATAAGCGCCCGTCCCCATGGCCTTAAATGTCAAATGCCCTCCTCCCCCCCATACTCCATCACTTTCTTGAATATTAAGGATACAAAAAAAACCTCTTTCTGTTGCCAATTGATTTTTTAACTTAATTGATGAGTCCCAATTACAGCCGAATTATAAAAGCACCCTTTTCATTAAGAGCTTGCTATTTTATAAACATCTTTATATTAGCATTTTTTTTTTAAAACTTATCCAAGGAAATACAGTAATAGTGTAATCCCACAAGAAGTTTTATTGAAAATAGTTGAAATACTTTTTAAAACCAAAAACTTTTAATGAAGAGTGAAAATGCAGATAATTAATTCTTCAATTTGTAAGAGCTAGAGAACAAGATATCATACAATAAACATTTGAAGTGTTTCTGTATTCCTTTATCTTGCTGCAGTGAAAACAGCGAAAGTTAAGATTACTACTTCTTCTCCTCTCAATGCCTATTAAACACAGACCGGCTAAGGACCTCTGCAGAAATATTCAAAACAAACAAAATAAAATATTACATCTCTATAATTCTCTAAAAATTAGTTTTACATTAAAAGATAATTAAATTTTTACTGATAGATTTCTTTTTTGGATTAAATTTACCAGTTTTTGGACATGTTTGTGAGAAAAAAATTGCAATAAAGTGGTCAAATTTAACAACATTGGGTATTTAACATCTTCAACTAGAGGCTCGATTTTTTTTGCTTGAAGTCTCATTATGTATGAAATCAATTATGAAATAAATTTGAGTACCTCTGGGTTAAAATTTATGTTATGTTGTCTTTAGGTTTTGGTAAAAAATGAGATTTGTGGCTTGAATTACCTTGATGTCTTGGTAAGGAATGGGGCTTTGCCTCTCAAAGCTGTAGGATCAGGGTTTCCTTTGACAATGGGGGTGGAGGCTGCTGGAACAGTGGAAAAAATTGGTGTTAATGTCACTAGTGTGTCTAAAGGAGAGAGAGTAGCATATGCAGTCGTTGGATCTGGTAAATGAATGATTTATCTTGCAGATGCTATAGTATGTCCCTAGTTGACCACTTCTGTCACCAATCACCTCTTATTAGAGCAACAAGTTCTCAAAAATACCAAACTTTAGTATATGAAATACCACAGGGCACCTACTACTTGTAGGTGACTGCAATCACTTCAATAATATAATGTTATAGTGAATTGTTTGACTAACTGTAATTACTGAAGCTTATTTTTATTTGTTTTCATTTATTTCCTTATGGGGACTCAGATTTTTTCTTTGTCCCTCACTCATGACAAGAAGAAAAAAATCTTTCTCCATTTCTTTACCGAGCTAAAAACTTACCATCTCTCTTAATCTTATTTAAATTATTAACCTCAATATGGGTGTCAATTGGATGACAAGACTCTTGATAAAAATGTGTAAGCTAATAATAGAGCTTGCCTTTTTAGCAATAACCTTGGCAAATTCATACCAGTATATGCCAGAATACTTAAGTTATGAATCTTCCACTCTCCTGGACATTTACCTGAATGAATCTCCCACATATGTCTATTTATGGAAGGTACATCAAGAAAATTTCCATTGAAAAATTATCATGTTTACCATTAAAGGATTGTTGATTTTAAAGTGAACTTGTGTTCATTTTGTCTCAGGTGCTTTCAATGTCGCTACTTTTAATTTGTGTGGTGATGTTGGGTGGATTATTTAAACAAAGTTTAGCTGTTGTTAAACAAAACGGTATTCTAAAGTATCTTGAATTTAGCTGAATCTTTTATCTGGACATTTATTTTTTTGAGCAGTATCAAGAGAGCCAGATGCAGCTAGTCAGCAGTTGAAGGACATTTATTTAATGAAAACAATCCTCTTATAGAGAATATGTAAGACCCGCTGCCTGTGTAAAAACCGTGCTTTACATTAGACCGCATGTAAAGTATAGGCCTGTTAAGTTTACAAAGTCAATTCACAAATTTAAGGTATGATTTGAGAGGTTGCAGATTAGATCTAAAATTATTTTTCTCCAGAATAGTTGGATTACAAAAAAGATATCTAGATGACATTGTAGGCTGAAAAGACATGATAAATGGCTCTCTTGGATGAATGACTTCTAAAGTGCCTCAAGTGAAAATGTCTAGAAAGATCAAAATTTGTCAAAAGTTGTGGCTCAACCAGTAACTAATCCTAGATTATTTATGCTAACTGTTAGGCGGTCCAACTTAAATTTTGAGTCGATAACACAGGCTGATACCATAAATATTTTCTAAATAATTGTAATCACCAGGAGCACATGCTGAGTGTGCAAAAGTGTCAGCATCAAGACTGGTAAAAGTTCCAGAGGAGATTAGTTTTGAGCAAGCTGCTACATCAATGGTTCAGGGGATGACTGCGCACTACCTTGTGCATACAACTGGCAGAGTGAAGCCTGGTGACAAGGTGTTGATACATGCTATCTCTGGAGGGACTGGGTCTCTTGTGTGTCAAGTGGCAAAGAATGCAGGTAACAAAAGTCTATGGTTTTCAGTTTGGAGATATCCAGTGGAATCGTTTTTGAGGGATGCTTTCAGGACTAGTGTAAATGTAACCAAGGAAGACATCTCCCCCAAAATAGCAGTGTCACACCCTAGAACTCTTCAAGATAAGCTCTCTGAAAGTAATTTGTATAGAAACATGATTTTGAATTGAGGAGCTGGGCGATGTAGGCAGTAGTTAAACAAATACTTGTAATGCCTCAAAGACAGTATGTAGCCTATTAGCTGCATAATTAGACTACTTGTTTTAACAATTAAGTTTGTGGTTAAAAGAAAGGTTGGGAATAGTAAGTGACATACCAAAGGAGGAGTGTGGATGCTAGTAAGAAGGGATAGAATCATGGAAAGGAAAATTTATTGACTTACTATAATTTCAATGCTAGTAAGAAGGGATAGAATCATGGAAAGTAGAATTTATTGACTTACTATAATTTTGTTGGCATTTAGTTTGCTTCCAATAGACCTCTTTAATACATACCACATGAATAGTGCTTTTTGCACATACTGATTGACTAGTTTGGAAGCGAAGAGCAAAAAATATTCAGCTGCGAGCAGCCAATGAGACAAGATTGCGCATCAAGAGTTTCTCATCAATTAGCCACTTCCACTTTGGTGGATAATTGTTAATAAGCTTCTGTGTTTTGTTTACCCATTTCAGGTCATGTGACAATACTCAAGAGAACTGTTTCTTTCAAATTTCCTCTTATTCATGTACATATGTTAACATAATTTACAAAAGATAAAGCTGGAAAATCCTTCGAGACCTAAAATGGGTAAGCAAAACATACAAGCTAAAGAGGTCTATTCCACTCTCCATTTCTGGGAGGTTTCTATTATTTATTTTACAACTGCGTGAAATATCCCATTTATGTTATCAATTACTGCAACCCAAATCTCTATTTAGCAGCCTGTGTAGGCCATCACCTTATCATTCTCATCATTCGCTTCCCACACTTCCCACGGCCAATCTTCTTTTTCGGGTGCAGTCAGTGCTTCAAGTTGAATCAAATAAGGTCAATGAGGGGCCGAAAAGTTTTTTCCAATTTCCTTTTACTTGTGCTTGGACTGCTCTTAATCTTGCCAAGTTGATCATGTAATTATCTAGTCAATTCAGTTGAGATTTATAGACGAAACTCCTTCAAGCCCATAATTTCAACATTTATCAGGAGCATTTGTGATTGGAACAACTAGCACCGAGGCCAAAGCAGCAAAGGCAAGGAAGACTGGTGCCGATGAGGTCATCCTTTACTCACAGAAAGATTTTGCCGAAGAGGTCAACAGGATCACTGATGGAGAAGGGGTGAATGTTATTTATGATGGTATTGGAAAAAAAACCTTTGAAAAAGGTATGATGTGGATCAAATATCAAAAAGGACATTTATAACTTTTGGTTCAAGTTTAATCATAATCTGACCTGTCTCAAGCTAAATTAGTACAATGGAATGATCCATTACTTATTACTTAATGAGCTAAATTATACACCCATATTTATTACTTCTTACTCATGATATACAGGACAGGTGCCAAAAAAAAAATTTAAACCATTTTGTATATTTAATCCATGAAATCAAGAAGGCAGGAATCATTGCGATCATCTAAATTCAAAGGTTAATGTTTAACCCTTTAACTCCAGACCAAATTTGCAATTCTCCTTAATGTCAACAATACAACACTTGTAATGTTAGTTTAGAGAATTTATTATTGTATCAACTAATTATCCCCAAATTGATATTTTTCTTTATTCTCATCACTTATCTGCTTGATATTGTAAGGAGAAATTATGTCTTGGTCACTCGTGGGAGTTTAAGGGTTTAAGGGTTAAAGGGAACGGATTGTTAAAGTTACAGGTCATTGAAGTCCCCTTGAAACTGCCTTTCGTGAGATTTACAAAAAATGAAAACTTCCATTTCATGTTTCACGTAGAAATGTTTAAAACCTGTCCGCACTAATACTTATCTTTTCTGTTCCGCTGTAGACTTCGAGTGTTTAGCTGTCCAAGGAATCGTGGTGTCTTTTGGAGTAGTTTCCGGGACTCCTCCTCCGTTAGATCTTAACATACTCGCCAAAGGTTCCTTCTCCGTCTGCCGACCTTCGTTGTTTCACCACATCAAAAAGGAAGAGGATTTGAAGTGGCGTAGCTCTGAAGTGTTGAACTGGATCAAGAAAGGCGAAGTGAAGTTTGGTGACTTTACTGTATTACCACTGTCTGAGGGAAAGAAAGCTTACGAGTTGTTGGAAAGTGGAAAATCTACAGGAAAAGTCTTGATGAAGCCATGAGCTGAACTGAAAGATTTAAGCGGTTAATCGCAATAAAACTTAGTTTTAGTTGATCCTAGGATAAAAACATACAAAATGCTAACGAATCTCTTTATCAATATGTGTGTTTTCGTGTTCCTTCGCAAACAAGCTGGAGATTGTACAATCAGCATGGTACAAGTTAAATGCGCAGGGATTTCTTTTAGTGTTCTTTGGAGATTTTATCTTAGAACAAAATGGATGTTTACGTTTTCTAAGTTATGCAAAAGCCAGAAAGTTTGGCTTTTAGACCAGTGTTTGTTTTACTCTTTACTCCATTTTCTGTATGTTTAACATCTTGTAACACTCGCTGTATCTTGCACCAAGAAAAGAAAAGCTGGCTCCTAATTACATAATCTGAGTTAACCCTTTACACCCCAACATTGGTCTGCATAATCTCCCTACTGTCTCCATACATTTCCCATAGTTTTGGCAAGGAGAATTTGTGGAATGATTAAGAACTTCTTCAGATGGTAACCATTTCCTGTATTCTCGTGACCTTGATGTTTGATGTAGGGGTGATTCTGTGAGAAAAAATTGTTAGTACCATAAAAACGCCGAAAAAACGAGGGTAGTATTCAGCCATCTTAACCAAATGAACTTGGTCAATAAATGATAATAACATAGCAAAAAGATTCCACTTTATTTTCAAAAATGACTTGTTTATTTCGAGGTCCGGGAAAGAAAGGCAACTGTGTTTGTAGCAAGTTTGTAGCATTAGATCAACAGGAGTCGTTTATGATTTTCTTAGCTTCGACAGTCTTTCCCACGATCTGCCGCTTTCTACGCCGACATTGTCCAAAAGTTACGGACTTTGTAAGTCCGCTCCGCGCGGACAAGATTTGCTTGCGCAAAATCTTAGCGTGCAACACTGAGTAGAAACGATTTTGCCCGCCCAGGCAGCTAATCAGAACACAGTATTCACTGCCAGCGATATTTAACAATTAACTTATTGTCTATTTTTGACCACGGAAACCGAGCTGAGATAGGACGCAGAAATCGTTGGACAGATACTCCAAAAGATATATAAACATAAGGGTTTCTCACACTTCAATTACTTTTATAACATAGCTAGTAAATTTGTCCAATCAAATTCAATTGCGCGAGCGTGCTTCATATTCTTATTGTGCAAGGACATGACATCAGCAAACAAATCCCTCGAGAAAAAATTTTCCATCGGGTTGAAAATGTTATAACCAATTGTTAACCCTTTAACTCCCAGGATCTGATTCTTAATTCTCCTCTCTGGCTGCTACACAATATCTTGTAGGATAGTTACAAGAATTTGGTGTGTGATCAAGTTTAAAACTTCTACTTGATAAGCTGGAGTATTCTCATTACCTGTTTGCTGGATAATGTATGGATATTATGGGAAGAAGTTACGTGTTAATCACTTCTGGGAGTTAAACGTTAAGTGACTTATTCCTACGGAAGATGCATTTTTCGCGCCAACGCAGCGGTTTCCCAAATCAGCTGGGACCAGTGCCATCAACCAATCAGTCGCGATGGCTATCAAATTGACCAATCAGAGCAGAGAAAGTAAGACCGCCAGAAGGAAGAAATTGGACAAGTGGAATAATCACCCACGTTGTCGTGTTTTGGCTGAAGTTCGTGTAGTATTATCAGTTCGAAGTAAGGGTATACTGAACATGTCTGAGGACAAAAAGACCGTGGTTCTTGCCTACAGTGGAGGTCTTGATACATCTTGTATCTTGCTTTGGCTCAAAGAACAAGGGTATGAAGTTATTGCATTCATGGTAAGAGGAATTTGTTTCGTGATACTCACGGGATAACGAGTCGCTCGATCTATTCGAAGCTTATCATTTTATACTGTCTCGGTAAAATTTATTTTCATTGAATCAGATTGTCTGTTCGATGATTTCGACGTGAACAAGACAACCCGTCTTGATTTGAGTTTTTTGGACTCATGTGGTGAGCTTTATGACTCCTGGGTGCAATATGCAAATTATTAGGAATTGAAATCAAAAATTGTACAGTAGCTGAAGTCAAGCGTGAGTTACGGTGACCTAGAGAAACAATAAACTTATTCAATTCTTTCGAAATGACCTAATTATGCTGTGATATTGACCAAGTCTTCCTAGATTCAAGTTTTTTGATTCAATTGTCGTTTTTTCTCAGGCAGATGTGGGACAAGATGAAGATTTCGAGGAGGCGAGGGCGAAGGCCACAAAACTGGGCGCAAAAAAGGTCAGCGATAATCCAAAGTTGCCCTGAATTGCCACGTAATAATAGCTCTTTTTTATGAAAGATTACATGTATTTATAATGATAACGCACCGTGAAGTGTAAACTAAATTTTGATTTCGATTCACTGGACGTTGGTAAAATTAGTTTCTCAATGAAAGCATTCAGAAAAAGATATTTCTTGGAGGATGCAGTACAAAGCCATTTTCCAGAGCTTTGAATTAAAATTGAAACCCTTTTGTGGGTGAACTAAGCTATCGTACGTTTGCCCAAAAAACCGCAATTTTTAGTTTGAGTAAGGATGGGTTTTCTGTAATGGAAATTATGGTAATTGAAAAGATAAATAAAGATTTATTGATCTTCTTTGCCAGGTGCCTTAAACAAGCGCTTTTGGTACACCAGTTTCACTTTGTGTAAACTTTGAGAAATTTGATTTAGTTTACACTTTTTCTTGGTTTCTACTTAAATATTGCCCAATTGTAAATTCTATATTTACCGGAGTCAATATTAGTTAAGAATATTAGAGTATCTGGTGGGATGTTTTCTTCATAAATAATTAGGAATCCTTAATTTTGGGGTTTTTATAAGTATAAGTTTTTGTGTCATTTGTGAAAATCTTGTGGTTATGTGCATGGTCTTGCAGGATTTAAATTAAAAGGCTCTCTTTCAAAGGGTAACAAACATTTTTTCATGACCACCATAATAATAATTGGGTCTAAATGATCTATTAAGTTTTTTCTGGAGGTTCTGAAAACCAATTAGCAGTAAATCAAATGGATTTAATAAAAGCCCATGGGAGGGGGGGGGAAGGTAGGCTTGATTATCAGCTGCTTTTCGGGAAATGAGCCATCCCTCCCTCCTAAATCAAGTGATGATTGAAGACTGAGCAGGTGAAAAGGGTAGAAATCAAGCTAAGGAGGGAAAGTGTGCACTCCCTATTTCAGCCCAAACAGGTGTACACTACCAAATAGGGCATGGTTTTTAAGTCATGAGTTTTAACAGGTTATCCAAACTCAATATTTATTGCCATGAATAAGATGTCTTATCAGGCCAGAAGTCTTGAACAGGATGTAAAATGAGGGTGGTGCGCGGTCTCCATCCCTAGTACTAACAATTTTTTCAAACCTTATTCCCAAAAATTCTCAACCTACCTAAATCAGGTTGAATTGCGGTAATCTGTAACAATTTTTTGCTGTGATTAGGGTTATGAAACTAGTGGATTTTGACTTAACCATTTATACCCTTATATCAGCATGTATATTCTCCATACTGTTCTCTATACATTTCCTAACAAGCTGACAAAGAGAATTTTTATACCAATCAAGAGCTTCTTTAGTTGGTGATCATTTCCTTTATTCTTGTGAGATTAATATTTGATTCAGTGATGATATTGTAAGGAGAAATTAGATGCTAGTCGCTCCTAGGGGTCAAAGGGTTGAATAAGGTCTGAACTGAGGGATCGCAGTTGTACCCTTATCCCACCTTCACCCCCTCAACCTCCACCAGGGACAAATTGAGGGTGTTGAGAACTTTTAACTGATCTTAACATCTTGGAGTCTTTTCAAATAAGTTAATTACAAAGTCCTGTATTTAGAGCTCATTGGTATCTTACACTTGTGGTGGTTTTGGGTTCAGTGTAACTTGGATTTGAATCCAAGGGTCTCTTACCATCCTGTTGGGTGTTTCACTGCTTCCCCTTTTTGCCTTACTGCTACTCAAAGTCTGAATGCAAATTTATTCCTTCCCCACAACTTCTTCCACAATCGAATATTTACATGTATGAAAACAAATTTGATCTTGGCCCTTACAGAGGGAATACTTGAAGATTAGAATCTAATTATCAGACTCTTTTCTCACTGAATTGTTTACCTGTAATAATGTTTTTTGAATGGCAGCTATAAAACATCATTTTCCAAACATGAAGTCATTATGTACAATAGCCCTTGAAAAGCATATTTTTTCCAATTTGTACCACAGGTGTTTATTGAGGATTTGAGAGAGGAATTTGTCAAAGAGTTCATCTTTCCAGCTGTACAAGCTAATGCAATTTATGAAGATCGCTATTTGATGGGAACAGGTAGATGTTATATTGACTTTTTACTTGGTGTTGAATTCAATAAAAATCTCCAAAAAATTACTTTTACAACTTCTACTTCAACAATTTCTTTGTCATAGCTGTTGCCAGGCCTTGCATTGCTCGTCGTCAAGTCCAGATTGCTCTTCGTGAGGGTGCAGAATATGTGTCCCATGGTGCTACAGGAAAGGTAAAATTAGGATAGGTAATAACATGATATCAAGTGCAATTTTGTGTTGATAAGCATGGGTAAATTTTTCAAAGATAACAAAGTTGCACAAGCTCGTAGGTCAAGTGCAATTTGTAGTATTTGAAAAATGTACAAATGTTTATAACACCAGATTACAAGAGAAATCATGTTATATTTCTTGTTAATAATGTACTTGAAAAAACATCACAGAGAGTCAAGGCAGAGAAAATTTTGAAAGCATGTTTGCTCTATTTGTAATTTGCACTTGAGTTACAACTTTGTATTCATGTTACAACTTTGTGCTTGTGTTACATGAGAATGCACTTGTTTTCAGCTGATCAGAAACGCATAATTTTTTTTATGTTTATTACAAGATCTCTTTCAGTGAAGGTTGTTGCCATCTTTGCAGCCATGTTGGAATCAAGGGTTTTTTTATCAGTTGGAACCATAAAAATACCCAGTGATCCCAATTTTGTAGCTTGAAGCTGTCATCAAATCAAAATGATTTGTTTTGCCACTTTGGTTCAAGCATTTATTGAATGTACATGTTGTCTGTAGTCTGTGTTTTCACAACTTTCTTTAAATTGTTTGATGTAACATTGAGTTGAAAATACATTATTTATTGACCTAGTGCTAATCAAGGAATTGTAACCTTAAGTTCTTGAAGAACCAATAACTTTCACTTGACTAATGGTGACTATTAATTTATGAATTTATTTAACAGGGTAACGATCAAGTGCGTTTTGAGATGACTTATTATGCACTGTATCCTGGGGTTAAGGTGGGTTGAAAGCTAAGCATTGACATTAAGGTTTACCTATTTAACAGATGTATGTCTGTTCAGTAATGGAACACAAGAGGCAGCTGAATATTTCACCTGCAGGAAAACTACCAAAACTCACAGAAAAACTACTTCAATTTACAATATAAAAATGTAGTTTGTTTTACAAAAAATTGTCTTCCACTAAGAAATGTTGAATTAAGTGATATATTGAGAATTGAAAAATATTCTTCATGAATATTTAAATTTGGCTCTCATGATGAGGTTGTTATCTTTGTGCCTGATTATATAACTGGTACAGGGTGTGGTGAAGAATACATGTTTTCAAATCAGACAAAATTCTAGTACTTTTTCAATATTATTACAATAGCAATTATATCATTTTTGAATCCACAGGTTATTACCCCATGGAGACTTCCAGAATTTTACGACAGATTCAAGGGAAGAAAAGACCTGTTTGACTACGCAGAAGTAAACATTACTTTACTTTACAAAGTTACTTTTCTCTTTCTCAGTACTTGTGTGTGTAAAATGAGTAAAGTGTCAAATTTATGATTTGAATGCCATTAACCATAACAATTTTTATCAAAGTAATTGAGAACACAGTTAATTTTCAGCCTTTTTCAATTTTGCTTGTTGTAAGCATTGCATACCAAGACCCAGTTGTATAAAGGATGGATAACACTATCCTGCAGATAAATCACCATCCAGCTGAAAAGTGATAGCAAAATGTACCGTGGTATCCTCACAATAGAGATTTATCCAGTGCATAGCATTATCCAAGTTTCAAAGAACTGGGGCAAGATGATTAACTTGTTTATAATTTCCTGCAGCAAAAAGGCATACCATTACCAGTCACCCCAAAGAAGCCTTGGAGTATTGATGCCAACCTTATGCACATAAGGTGAGTTTTTTTACCACAAAATTAAGTTCTGTAAAGAGTTTCTATGGTGATGTTTTGAGCCTTAGCCCCTCATTAAAGTAAAGAGAAGAAAAGTTCTGTAAAGTTTACTAATAATTTAAAATATAATTAGCTGAATATAACCTTGGTCGTTTTAACCAGTTTTTGAATTGCTAAACTTCATGTGGATATCACGTTACTATTATGTATTAATTACTGTCATCACTTGTTTTATTCCAGTTATGAATCTGGAATTCTTGAAAACCCTAAGGTCAGTGAGTGTTAATTGATCAATGGGTACATGGTACTTTCATCTTTATTTTTGGAGATATTGACTCAAAGGAAGCTTAAGTTATCTTTTCTGTTGGGAGGAAAGATTAGTGAGCTTCCCTCAAACTGGATTGTAACATTTTGAGTCCTGTGTCTTTCTAAGGCCACTGTCTTGTGTTTTTGGGTAAGGCACTTGATATTGACCAAGTACCAATAAATAATCAGTAATCAGTTGGCTGGCATCCAATCAAGAAAAAGGAGTGATAACTCCTAGCTTTGGCAGCTAATTCCTCAGGTGGCTTAGTCTTTTATCAAAACCTTGTGTCTTTGTAACTAAAACCTGCTTTTTCCTTCTCAGACCATGGCTCCAGATGACCTTTACTGCTTTACAACTGATCCAAAATCTGCTCCTGATGAGGTAAGCTTTTAATGTTTCCTGTTTATAATTATGAATTTCCACACTTCTTCAATGTGTCATGCTGGTGAATTGCTCTCATTTACATTTTGATCAGGAGGCAAAGGGTTTTATACATGATGCATGATTAAACCCAACATTTATTCTGTTAGCCTTGGCAAGTTGGACTCCCTCATTGAATATTATTATTATTATTATTATCATCATCATTATTATTATTTCATCATCAGTTTTATCTTTACTTATCTTCTTTCATCAGCCAGAACAGCTCGAGCTTGAGTTTAAGAAAGGTAAATATTTTAAAGCTATACTTATAAAAATTTCTTCCTTTACGCCTTGTTTTAAGTGAATGTTTGTACTTATAAAAGTAATTTTTGATAAATATTTCATGTAATTATTTGATTCTCATTGGTTTGAAATTGACATAACGCATAACTCTGAGTGTCAGCTCACTTGAGGCTGACTTTCAGAGAAAACAATATTTAACTAAAGGTCTGGAGGTCCAGAGGTCTGTTTATCAGTGTGAAGATTAGCTGGTAACCTGTGAAGTCAGAAAGCAAGGGCACAGGGGAAAGAAGAACCTCAGACAAAGCCAGAGAAATTGACTTTGTATGGATGTCCTTGAGTTTTCGTTTCATGGATTTCTTTTGACATGCGCAAATAACTTTGCTGTCCTAAGAGTCTTAGGTACTTGTTCAAGGGACCTGTTTTTTTTTTAAGTTTTTTTTTCTAACTTGAAACAAGTAACACATATACACACACACACACACATAGCCTCACTCACTGTTATCTTTTAAACCCCAGGTGTCCCAGTTCGAGTTCAGAACTTGAAAGATGGCACAGTTCATGACAAACCATTGGATATCTATCTTTATCTCAACAAAATGGGGTCAGTAGAACATGGCTTGGAGATAATTATGTTGAAATAATTCAGTGTGTTAAATTAGGTATGGCTCTGATTTGTATTATCGGAAATTAAGAGCGACCGAGACGTACTTGAGAAATCAGGATTTTGTCCCTTTATTCGTCTTGCGTTTAGCAGTTTTCTCTTGCAATATTTAGAGTGAAGAGAAAAGAAGACATACTCATAACATTAAAAAAACATTTTGCTGATAATCGTCACCCGAAGTGAAGGTCAGACGACCTTTTTTGTGGCATGGTAATGAAAAAAAAACAGCTTTGTACTCTGCCGCTATTTTTGCTATAAAGAAAACCAATAATGTATTACGGTAGTTACACCTGGTGAAAATAGCGGGTCATTTTTCACATCCCAGTTTTTCCCTTCATGTTGTAGTGGTCGCCATGGTGTTGGAAGAATTGACATCGTGGAAAACAGATTTGTTGGAATGAAATCCAGAGGTGAACGGTTTGCTGTATTGCATGATGTCCTTAAATCACTTGGCTGTATGTGTGTTTGTAAATGATGTCAATATGTTTTCGCCAAGTCATGTCAAAATATGCTTGTTCGTATTGTCAGCCTTTCTTTCTGGCAATGGAAAATTAGGAGAAGAAGCGGAGAAATCCTTTCGTTTTGTCTTGTAACCAGCGAAGAGGCTGCTGCACAATGGGAAAGACGTAGCTCGCGTTCCATGTCCTTCTCTCTCCCCACTTCTTGCGAAAACTTGCGCTCTAAATTGTTACTCCAGGGCTTGCTACTTAGGCTGTACCGTATTTGGTACAATACCAATGATTAAGAGCGCTCAATAAAGGGTTTGTTACAGTTTTTCCTCATATCTATTCTATCTTTCAAAGGAATCTATGAATGCCCCGGTGGTACCATATTGCGAGCTGCGCACTTGGATATTGAGACATTCACAATGGACCGGGTAAGTTGTGAGAGACGTGAATTCATTAAATGGATGCATGCTAATATAAAACCATGCAGAGTTGTATGAGAGATGACGTGTAAGCGTTTTTCTCTTCTTCTGTATGGAAGGAATTGCGCAAAATCAAGCAGATGTTGGCCGGCAAGTTTTCAGAGCAGGTTTACTATGGATATTGGTACAGTCCTGAAGGGGATTATGTGCGTTTCTGTTTGGACAAGAGTCAAGACAACGTGGAGGGAAAAGTGACACTGGATCTTTTCAAAGGAAATGTATGTTTTCTCAATTCTGTTACAGTTTTCGTGAAACTATGTGGGTGCCTAAAATTGTCTCCTGAACACTGTATAAATTACGTTAACGGTTAAGGTTGTAAACCTATGGGGTATATTGGCAACATGCATGACACACATAAGAACTCTACCACCAAAACGTACGTCTGGAAATGAATTCTTACGCATTATTTTTGTCCATTTTGCGCTGCTATAGTGAGCCTATTGCCTTCGTTATGAAGTTGACTGTCTGAAACGCTCGTGGCGTACTTGCTAGAAGCTGTAATTTTAATTAAGCAAGCTTTGTTGCTATTTTTGTTGTCAGAAGTACATGTAACTATTTCAGTGAATATTTATTTGTATTAATTTTCTTGTGTAAGGTTTACATCAAAAGCCGTGAGTCTAAAGCATCCCTCTACAACGAGGAATTAGTCAGGTACATCACCTTGTTCTTTTATAGGCCCGATAAATGTCTGCTAAGTTGCAAGTCTGAGTGAATTTCCAATTCCCCATGTTCCATTTTAGTAGTGATGGCGACTTCTGCTAAGGTTATCGAAACATCATTTACTACTACCGACAACAATCCCTCTTAGAACTACCTTCACCCGGACGATCAGACTGCACAAACATTTCCGTTTCTTGAGTAACATTAAAGTTCAAAAGAATTTCTGTCATCAAGGAAATTTTACTCATCCATTTATGCAAATCCGGTACTGAGCGATAGATTCCTCACTTAGTTTTGCTTTAAAATTGTCAATCATTACTTTGAAGGAAATACGAAAAATGTACGAGTTCTTATTTCTTCCTCAGCATGGATACCATTACTGGCTACAACCCACAAGACGCAGCTGGCTTCATCAGAATTAACGCTCTGAGGTAATGAAACATTCTATACGTACCTTTAGTCCTTCTTATGTAGCAGAGGGAAAGCTGATCAAATTTATCGACAGAGAAAAAAAGTTAATTGGGTAACGGAAGTAATCTTGGATTACCCTGCTCTGCCTTTCTTCACCTCGTGTCTGGTTTAGAGTACTTCTGTCATTCTCTTAACCAATCAGCCTGAAACCAATCTTGACTTGATCCGTCGCCTTTTTCTTCGCCTCTGGGAATCTTCCTGTTGCAATTTAGTTCTCCTTCTTCCTTATGAGCGTTTGTGTTTACTTTGGCGACACTCAATCGGAATGCAAACATAATAGTCATCAGGTATACTAGGCCAAATAAATTATTGTGGAATGTGTTTAAAAAAAAAACCCATTTACGAGAAAAGAGGCTAGAGTCCAAACTCCGTAGAAAATATGTATTAAACCTGTTGCATGTAAATGAACCATAACATTTGGCTAAAGTAAAAACTCCGAAACGTCTTAAAATTCGAAACATAGGGGTAAAAAATTTGAGCCAACAAAAGCTCATAAACAACTAAAACTCCATGAAAAACAAACAACAACAGTAGGCGTACCTAAAAGACGGAGTATTTACCGTAGTTAATCTTCTTTTGTATTTAGCCACGCGCCTCAAGAAAAGGAGGTGGCTTGAAGTATGATTATATGAAACTCCCTTTTAAAATTAAGAGTAAAACCCCCAAGGGTCATCATTTATCGCCGGAGGAGGGAGAATCGGGTTTTGTTGTTGTTGTGTTGTTAATATTCCTATCAACACCCCCCCCCCCTCCCCTCATTAGCAGTTAATTGTCAGTCAATTTTCTATCTTCCCTCCTTTATATTCTGTTGGCGATGACTGATCCACCCTCCATTCCCCCTGAAAACCAAATGACCCCACCCCTCCTGCTTTATTCTGCGGTCAGTGTAATTAAGAATTCAGTGACCACCTTGAGCTTTGCTTGTTTATTCTTCTGTTTTACTCAAGGCTTCGTGAACACAGCCGACTCAGAAAAGCGCTGAACAAGGGTGAAGAAAATGGCGCCTGATGTGTGGCAGGTGACTCTTGGAGTAACGAATAAGTCCCTGAAAAAATTGCGTGGAGAAATTGGTGACAAAGCGAAGCTATTAAAATACAACACTGCGGGTTTTATTATTTTTAGTAAACTAGAAACTAAACTTGTGTTTATTTGTTTAGTTAGAATAAAATTCTCGCAACAATAGAGGCAATGTTTGAAGGTTAATTTGCGTGAACCTCTCTCAGTCAGTTGTTTGTTGCCCCTCTATGTCCAATACTATTAAATTGACTATATTTTTTTATCAATTCGCCGTCCGTTTTGTCTGATGCCCCTTTAGTTTTCTGCAGTCGCTGTTTTTTCGGCGAAGAAAAGTTAATGACTCACAATGATTTAAAAAGTTCTTGGAGTAAAATGCATGAGAGGCTGTGACTGTCTCCAGTACAATCCTTTCACCTAGTGTGCTCGTTCGCGTGAGCCGCGGTCGGAAATTTATAGTCTTGTGAATTTTAAATGAAGGCCACAAATGATTCGTTGCCGTCCTCAGTAAAGCCACATACCTAGAACTCAGGAACTGAAAGGGTTGTGGATTTTGTGGACTTCCCATGTACGAAAGTGATTTACTGGTGTACAAAAACACCCTAACCCTAACCCTAAAGCAAAATGGTGCTCTTAACAGACCTCTTGTACTTAGTGTCTTAAGCTGCCACACCCTCCTCCCTGATATTCGTAACGAGATGTCTAAGATCACATTATACTGCATGGGATTTGACGAAGAATGTTCGTCAATTACAAACAAGAGATGTATTTCATAAAACTCCTTCCACTGAGCAGCATAAGGTGTGAGAGCAGTTGTCAAAACCTCGTGATTTCGTTTCTTCTTGTGTAATCGACTGTGGTTCGTAAGTGATTCTTATCAGGTATTAACTGCATCAATTGGTTAAGCTTTAAAATAAGCCAAACAAACCGAGCATATTCTACGTACACGTATTCAAATCATGCGATATATATAGTGGAAATGATCAAGAGTGTATTTTATTTTAAATTTTCAACTATTATTGTAATCGTATGTACAAAAAACTGACACAATTTCAGCAAAATTTGTGGAAATTTCCCAACTCCCCCCCCCCCCAAAAAAAAATCAGCTGCGTACATGTCATGCGCAAATGCTTATTAATATATTTACAAACATGGTTTTAAAAAAGTCATCTTGAGTTCAACATCTCGTGTTTAAACATAGTTGATTAAATGATTACAAACGTTTTCAAGCGATGAAATGAATGAAATTTTGAGAGCAAATTTAACCCAGCAGACAGCTTTTCTTTGGCTTCAATCAGATGAAGAGAGAATTGAACTTGATTGCATTTGAAATCTGTAGAATATAAAGAGAACCAGTGTCAACTTACAATCTCAGGGTAAACCAAAGCACCAAAGGTAGAGTAAAAGGCCTATGCTCTTGTTACAATAAGAAGATTTTGACAGCTTTTCTCATAGCCTGCAGAGCATGCGTAATTTTGGCGAGTGCTCAGTATTTCCTGAGCGAAAATTATAGTCGCCTCCTTTGATTTTAATGACAGCGGAAGGCTGGGGAGGGAGAAAAACTTGTACACAGCGGGTGTGCGAAGGTCAAAATTAAGGAGAGGGGTGGGTGCCTTTCCCTGCCCCCCCTCCCCCCCACTGCTTCCTTTATCTTCAAATTAAACATGGCCAGTTGAATAAAGAATCGCGAGATTCCTAAAGTTAAATCGCCCTATTAACACGGCTGCTCTGCGGGCCACTCTTCTCAGAAAATGCATTAATTACTTAATAACCTTTTAATAGTATGATCCAAACCATTTGTTGAAAGTCCTGCCCAAGAATCCTTGTCCTGAAATATAATGCACAATTAAGACACAGTTGAGACTGCTTACCAGAAAGGAGAGAGAATTAGATTAACTAAATTTAGGTTGAAATAAGGCCACATGCACCTTCGCTGAATGAGGAACTCCAGCCCCTACCACACCCCTTACTATCCTGCTAATAAGCCCCTTTTGAGTAAATCAACCCCCTGTTTTTCTGTGCGGGCTTTTAACTGGGCACTTACGGTATGTATTTGGTTCGATCAACTTACCAGTTTGTTGAGTAGATTGGCTATTGAAGTGATAAGTCTGAGGGTAAACGGAAACGACCTGAGATCCACTTGGAACGATGCTCATAGACGGTAATGGACGATGCTGAGAATATGGACTCCCTAGACAATCAAAGAAGGGTTAACAAACCTTGCCTTACTACGGAATTTTTTCACTGATAACTTTCTGTTCAATTAGATACCATTCACTAAAGGAGCGTGGTAAGTTCCTCATGACCCCAGTACTTGGGGTCGAGTGCCGGTCGCTGTACGAAAATGAGCCCGCGCTACACTACTGAAGTAATCTGACGAGACTGATCGAAAACACGAAGCCCAGATCCGAGAAAACGGTAAAAGTGGAGCGTATTTTTCCTTATAATATTCTTAAGGTAGCTTCATTTTAAATTCTTCCTATTCATATTTGTGAACTTGGTAGAAATTTGACTTAATGTGTAAAAAAATCTCTGAACCTTTTAGCTCTCCTGACCAAAACTGAATGTTTTTACGTTCGACTTTTCAGAATGAGCAAACAGTGTCCTTGATCGCGAATGTAATGTAATGTTCAACTGATCATACCTCTGGCTTTCTTTGAAAACGGGTTGATCTCACAGGGTGTGCCGGTGTTCTTGAATGCAGCATCATTTGAGATAATTGCCGGACTGTTTCTCACAGTTTCAACTTCAGCAAAGTTGGGTGTAGGGGTATGTGGTGGTCTTTTAAGACCTTTAGCTCTCTTGGAAAAGGGATTCACCCCGTTATCTGTGATATTGTTGGATGGAACACCTTTGAGATGGACTGGTGGAGTGTTATTCTCATTTTCAGCTCCTCTCGTGTTAGCAGCAGGGCAATCAAGTGCTGACAATGGATTAATCTGCCCGCTTGAGTACTGAGTGGTAGTATTAAATACTGTATTCTTGAACACAGCATCATTTGAGGAAATTGTCTCGCTGTTTCTGACGGTTTGAGCTGGAAACATTCTGGCCGCAGGGATGTGTGATGGTTTCGTAACGCCGATAGCTCTCTTGGAAAAGGGATTTACCCTCTTACCATAAGAACCAGTGATATTGTTGGATGGAAACCCACTGAGTTGAACTGGTGGAACTTCAGTTCTTGGGATGTTAGCGGCTGAACAATCGATTGTTGGTCGATCCAGCGCCTCGGCTTTATTGGAAAATGATTTAATCCGTGTGCCAGAGGACCGAATGGTGATGTTAGATACAGGATGCCTTGGTTGGATTGGCGGGGTACGCTTGTCGACTTCAGGCGTCTCAAACATATTCACAGGACTTTGTGCTGGTCGGTCCAAGCGTTTTGTCTTCCTAGAAAACGGGTTGACACTCTGACCAACGCAACCGGTTATCAGGTTGAATTCATCTCTTCGGGGTGGTGAAAGGTTTTTCTTTATTTCAGCTCTGACAAAACTGCCATCGGGGGCGAATGGTGGCTGACATTTCAATTCAGGACAGTCTTTAGTGAAAAAAAAGAAGTGCAAGAGCAAGTTTTATTTGGGTCATTTTCAGACTGGCAAAGCGAAATATGAACTGGGACCACCTCATATTTTTCCCATGTATTCAGTATCAGTAAGAGACTATAGTCTCTTGTTAAGAGTAGAGTACTGATGGCGTATTCTTCCTTAAATCTCATTTTGTGTTTTAGTTATGAGATCAGCGAGTCCTTCTCTGAATATGAGTGAAGTGAGTACTCGGCTAAGTTCGCACAGCGACTCGGTACCTTGATAATTCAAGTGTTTACTTGTTTTGGGTTACACGTCATACCACCCAACTTCAGCACAATAAAAGTTGGGTTGTTGAATTTGCGAAATTATGTTATACAGGTTTCCTTCGTCATACCTTGGGCTACTTCAGTGGAGGGCTTTGAATTTGATTTGACATTCTTCATGGCCTCAAGTTCTCTTGCTGTTACTGGAAAGTTTTGAATTTCGAGACATCCACCGTTGTTAGATAGAGTGTCAAACCATGATGGTTGATGGTCGAAGTAAGCTTTACCTAATAAAGAGAAAATTTTGAATAATTGTTCATGGACGAAAGCGTTATCAACGATTCTCAAGTTTTGGGGTTAAGTGCCTCTTCTTGTCTTAAGGATAGGAAATGAAATTTTTGTGACTTTACTCAAATGCGGTACACACTTTATTTTCAGGACTTCTAATCTCGTCCCAGATCCTACCGTTTAACTGTAACTTCAATGAAAGGTCTGGGTACGTGACTAGGTCGCTTCGCCAATGGCATGAGCCGCGATTTTTACCTAGAGGTGTATTATTTGTTCTGAGTTTTTTGTTTTTTGTTTTTTGTTTTTTTGTTTTTTTAATCTTTTCTGAACTGTGAAGCGATTGTTTTTTTACAGTGATCGATAATGTAGACCCCTCGTCCTCTTCCCATCGATGTTTCCTTGCGATGCTTGGAGACTAACTTTGGCCATAGAAATGCCATTTCAAGTAACATACTCACCATTAAAAAATTGTAGCTCGCTTTGGGATTCCTCTAACTTTGTTGTATTCCTCATGACACTAACATTTGCCCCACCCTTGAGCTCGTCGATAGTCTTCCTTGCCTCCTGTAGCTTTTCATCCATTGCCGCCAATTGCTTGGAAAAATCCAACTGATTTCTTTTCCAGCTTTGTTGTAATTGGGACAGTTTTTCTTTGAGATCAGAATTCTCTTTATCTTTCTCAAAGAGAGCTTCTTTAAGAAAGGTGATCTCCTTCTCCTTAGCTGTTAAAATACAAGAAATAAACGTCCATTTTATAAATACTTAGAATAAAAGATAGATCAAATTCAAGTTTTGAATGATAAGGCAAATTGGGAAAATATTACAAAAATGGAACTGTTTCGGACGGAATGAGAAGCAGGGGTTTGGGGGAATATTTATTGTCAAGAGTCTACGGTTAAATGGGTCTTAAATGGTTTCCCTGTGCACGTGCACTTCTCTTATCCCGCATGCGTCATTACTTAACTAACCGTTAATTTCTGTTTCGAGGTGGATGATCTTTCTCGTTAGTTGTTCCTCTTCTCTCGGAGCCTGGTAGAAAATATGTCAAAAATAGCATTTTTGAATTTAAGAAATTAGAAGTGAACAAGAAAATTGA